AACTGTTGGACTAATTATTAGATATTCTTTTTTTAGAGTTATTAACTTTTTCTTTAATGTTTTTCTATTTATTAAAACTCGCGATTAACTTATTGCTCGGAGCGTGTCAAAGTGATACAAAAGTTACGCTTTTTTTGATTGACATTATTATCTATTATCGGTATTGCACAATTTTGCCTATCCGTACGCGTATCTACTTTGCGTAACGGAGACATAATTATAGATTCGCATTAACCTAGCGTTAAATTACAACATTCTTTATTTATATGTATATTATAAATTCAATATAACAATAAATTATTTATATATGATTTTTAAAAATTAGTCTATCAATTTGTGTATAATGAGTATGAAAGTTACAAAATTTTATTTTTTGCAAATTGCTACTGAAATAATATTTCAGTTGAATACTAATTTCCCAGTAAAATATCTATTAATATATTAGATCTTTCTGTTGGTTGACCAAACAATAAAAAATTTTTGCTATTTAACAGTCTTTTCATAAATTTTAAACGAAGGAATCTTAACGAAATTCGAAAATAGTCTTAAACATTAAATTAACAAGGGACATCATTAAGATTTCTTTGCTCAAGTTCTAAAACACCGATAATATTAAACTGTAATAGGATAAAGTTTGACTAGCACCAGTTTTTTTTTAGCTAATAATAGCGATAGATTTGTTGATCATAGTAAGAAAAGCGCAGTAATAATTGTCGGGGATGAAGCTTGGAATCGGATGATGCTGAGAATTGGAATTATCTTAATATAAATTTTTAAAAATTTTTTGAGCTATTTTTTTAGCCTTTTTTTTAAAGTTAGGTTAGAATTTAGGGTTAGAGTTTATAATAAAAGAGTATATGTGGATTTTAGTAGGGTTTATATTTTTAAATTGAGACCCGAACTTCATCCCCGACAATAATTAAAGGAATAAAATGATCCTTTATCCTTTAATAAAAAAGAGAGAGAGAGAGATCTTTTAATAAAGGATTAATTGAAAATAAGTTGATTTCATCCGTGAGCAGAACTGTTGTGGTAGAGAACGAGACTTACGATCGGTCATTAGAATCTTTAACCAATCACGTGAACTTAAAGTTATCACTGATATCACTTGATCATCATCCGCTTTTACATCATCCTTAATAAGATACGTATCATCAATTCGTAATCACCTTGATCATCACTCTTAAGAGCATCACCGTCATTCATCACCTCATCACCATCCTCTATTGATATCAAAACATTCGTTTCGTAGCGTCATATTGTCCAATTAGTCTTTTAACAATTATAAAAGACCCACTGTGTTTATCTTTATCTCTCCGTACACCGTTGGAGTTAAATTGGCCTTTCATCCATATTATTCTCCCATCAACGGTTACACTACCTAAACATGCTTGTCGACATAATTGTCGTGGCTTCACGTAGTTATGGGTTTCAAATCCACTAAGTTTATGCACTCATTTCGCACTACACTAACGACTGGCGTATCATATAGGCACTTCCACCTCAACGACCACTTAATTTGTTACTTAGTTTATAATACGAACTCGATTGATCCTCTATTTATTAGAGAGATTTACATCTCTTTTATAATACGAGATTATCTTCGGATATATTATTATCTGGTTACACACATTAGACTATTAATTTAATATTATGCATGATGAAAAATCCCCAATCACGTCACTAATGCAACCTGGTCATGATCCGGTAACCCATGATCATACCTCAACCCAGCACTACAGATACAGGGGGTGTTGGTCATCGCCGTGACAATACTACAGAGCTTAAATTATTTATCTGCCGCAAATACGTGTTACTAAGGTTTTATTGCACTATTACGGTAAATATTTATTGTACAATTAATAATCTTTGTGAGTAGGGAAGTTGCCGGCTTGACCCGGCTTATATAATATAAATACTGATTAATTAATAGAGCACTATAGTTTATAAATATCAATATAAATAATAGTGATAGTATAGTTTTTATAGAAGCAATTTCTATTTGTGCACTATGTACATATTGTTATTTCACATAGAAAATTATTTTTGGAATTAAAAGATTTATTGCAAAATTATAGCCTAAAGTATAACTTTTTTCTCAAACTAAATAATCCTATATAATATTAAACGGAATTGATTTTCTTTATTATAAATTACACAAAATGCAAATCATTAAATAGCATACATTTTGCATACATTGTGAAACTAAGAAATTTTCTTGTACAAATTTAAAAATATAGAAATACAGACATTAACTAACAATTTACGTTTACATATTAGTTATTATTTTTTTTTCACTAACAATTTACGTATAGAAGACGTTTTCCTAAGAAAAAAATTAATGAAGACACTAATGCGACTTTTTCAGTAGGAAATCCCGACCAATTACCCGAAATGTTTGAAAGAATTATATGCGAACCTAATATATGGGTTGTAGCGCCAAAATAAGCGAATATAACAAAAATAAACGTAGTAGAACCACTACCTCCACATACTCTACATAACAGTGCTAATACTATAAAAAAGATTGGAATTGAATATACAGCCCATATCCATTTACTAACAGCATAAGAAGTATGCAATAAACTAAAACATAATGCTGTCAAACCTATCCACCCAGCAGCACCCAATAAACATGAAAAGGTAGCACCAACATACGCGTAAACGTAATTGCGATTTTTTTCATTATCTTCTTCACGAGCTTTTAACATAGCAGCCATACCGTCGTTAAACATTTTGAAACTCCATGGAGAAAGTTGACCGATTGCTGTAACAGTAAATGGCCAATATCCTTTACATCGTATACACGTAAAAATTGTTGGACCTATTGTCAAAGCAGCTGAAATGAAAGCAATAAGTAGACCTTGAGATTTATAAGGTTTACCCCATTTCCATGGTGAAAATAGAGGAAAATTAAAATATAATAATAAACTAGAAGCAAATGATAAAATCCAACAGATAAAACCAAATGTTCCAAATGGTAATCCAAAACAGACTACTTGATCTGCTATCATTTGTTCATAACTATCTAATTTTGAAAAATATTTTAATATTTAAAAAATTTTTTGATTATAATAACTATACAAAACTTACTAGTTGTATTATTTGACATGATTATTATTGATTATTTATTCGTTAGTTATTCGTTGGTTATTCGTTGGTTATTCGTTGGTTATTCGTTGGTTATTCGTTGGTTATTCGTTAGTTTTTCTTAGTTATTCGTTAGTTTTTCTGTTAGTTGATTTACGAAATTCACATTCACATAAAAATA